TTGTAGCATATATCCAAATCATAGGAGTCTAGTGATGTTGGTGATGATTTGGATGGGTTTTCTTCTGTAGGGGCGCTTACCGTTTGAAGCTCAGCTCTAACAGCTGCGAAGGGTTCCATAGTCTGCTATGTACATTTGGTCTGACTGTCATTATACTGGTTCTCCACGTAACTATAGAGATATATACATTTTTGACTTTATTAAAGATTTACTATTTTTGTTCTCTTCAAAAATAATTTACAATTTAATTGTTTTATTTGATCATTGTTATTTCTATTTATTCTACTTTATATTTTATTAATTTTTTCTTATTTTATTTTAGTTTATTTAATTTTTATTTTAGTTTATTTTTTTAGAAAAAAACAATTGCATATAATTTTGTTGAAATACATGCTGTGCTATTATTGATACTTCGAAATTAATTACTATAAATTTTAATAAATCGTGATTCAAGAAAGCTACTTTGTGAATGGCTACTATTTCAATAGATTATTCCAAATCTGTCAATAATGTATTTCAATCCAAATACATTATATATTTTATCTATTCAACTATTGCCCAATCATATTACCAGATTTGTATACTTGCAATTTTAGCTAGCAGTTGACTATACATTTTGTAATTTTATTACTACATTTCTGATATAAATAAAAAGGATTAGTAATAGGGCTGTTAATCATCTGATCTGAACTAACGGTCCTTTATTCTATTCAAGAATTGGGCTAGTTCAATTTTCTTTAGAAGAGATCGAGAGGACTATCAGTTCTAATATTAAAGATAAGGATGAGTATTGGAACAAAATTAGAAAGGATGCTATATATAGTAAAATCTTGCAAGGATTTGTTTTTGTTAAATTATAGAAGAAATTTTAAGTTAAGATGATTTTTTGAAAAAATCTGGCAGTTTATTTTGTTTTTACATTGTGCTTAATCCTGCCTGTATCATGATTGGTTTAAAATTATGAGACTAAGGACTTTTTATGTGATAACAGTTTCAAATTACATGATCATAAAAGAATAATATTACAAATTAAGTAAATTGATGCATAAAGCACAAATTGCATTTGGGAAAATATCTGAAATATTTTAAATAGTCGATTTATCTGATATAATCTTATTTGGTACTGGGCTGTAATCCAATTGAATTTTGTAAAAGATCAAGTTCTTGGACCAAGACAGACCAGACAGACCAATTAATAGCCCTAATTAGTATAAGCGCAAAATAAAGTTTTGAAAAAATTTTTAAACCAATTTTTTGAGAATTTTAAGGTCAGAAGGTCATATATATGACTATGCCCATGATTAGTAATAACACCAAAACTTTTTATAGACAAGAAATTTAACAGATTCGAACACTAATTAAACATGCTAACAAAATCCTAAATTATAAATTGACACGTCTAAAAATTTTATTAATAATCTTATTTTAACAAGTAATATATTTAATTTTTGGATTCAATTTGTTTTACAAGTGACAATTGTTTCTTTGGGCTTATGATTTGTTCATCAAGTATAAATAATTATCATATTGAAGGCTAATATTTGTAAAAAAAAAATTATAAAATATACAATTATCAAAGAAATCAAATTTAGAGAAAATTATATATAAGGGTTTGAAAAATGAAAATAATTACAAATAAGGGCCAAAGTGAAAATAATTACATATAAGGGCCCAAATTTTGAAAGATTTTACAACTAAGAGCCAAAATAATTTTGTATTATGGTGATAATGGTTCTTTGAATATTATCACTGTATATATATATGTATTATTTTATATATTTTATACAGGGATGATGATTTTCTGTGGTGACAAAATGCTAATTCCATCTGTGACAAAACTAAATTTTGCAAAAATTTCATATATTAAAAATTGCTTTTTCTGCACATTTTTCGTGCCAAATATTTAAAGATTTTGTGCTAATTATATAGAAAATATGTATATTCTGCAATTAAATTTTTTTATTATAATAAAAATAATAATAATTTATTCACTAATTATACTATTAAAATACAATATATTTAAACATTTTAAAGAGTTTTCTGATAAATTTTGTCAATTACTATCTAGAATTGTATTGTATTTAGAAAAGCTTTGCTCTATACTATATGAAGAAATAGATAACCAGATATAATCAAGAGCGATTTGAGATAAAAGTAGTAGCTAATTATTAAATTTTAACTAATATTTATTTAAATCAATTTTACCAACATATATATCATCATCAGTATATAAAATCTGAAAAAAAATTTTTGTGTGCATGTGCATATAGAAAAAATTTTTTTGTAACATTTTAAAAATTTGACTATAAAATTGTACACAACTTATATGTTAATTAGTATATATTTAGTTTAAAAAATTGTATATACTAAAAAAATTGTGCACATGTGCATATTGTGTATATGAATTTTATACACTGATCATCATATAAATTATAATAAATTGCCTATTCATTTAATTGGTGATTCGCCACTCAACTAGAGAGAGCTTATAGTATAATGTGACATAGTTTATATATAGAAATTAGAGTTTTAGAATGTGAGCTGCTTCTATCTAAAACTTTTTTTGTACTAAGTTAATCACCTTTGGGCTTCTAATTGAAGTTGTAGAGTCATTGAGACAAATCTAATAGTGATTGAATTGTCAAAATCAGCTTGGTGGATCACGAGATAACTTCAAAACATTTTGCCAACTATGTAAATTCTTTCTTTTGACAATAGTATTGCCAAGAGAATTTTACATAGTTGGCAAAATGTTTTCGAAGATATCTCATGATCCACCAAGCTGATTTTGGCGATTCAATCACCATTAGATTCATCTTAACAAGCTCTACAACTTCAATTAGAGGCCCAAAGATGATTAACTTAGTATGAAAAAAGTTCTAGATAGAAGCAGCTCATATTTCAAAAACTCTAATTTCTATATATAAACTACATCACGTTATACTATGAGCTCTCTCTGGTTGAGTGATGAATCACCAATTAATAGATCATCTGATGGATTACTTAATTCAAAAATAATTTTATAGTATCGTAAATTTCTTTGGCTAACTCCTCCTGTATAAATAAATTTTGGATTAAAAATCTGATAAGCATTAAAAAATAATCTACTAGGATGTGAAGAAATATGTGCTACAAATTTCAAATACACTTTAGCGAAAGCATTTTGATATATTAAATAGAATTCAGATAGTTGAAAACCATTTTGAATAATAAGTTCATCCATTGGAAAACCAAAATGTGTAGCCCTTATATTTAATTCAATAAAATTGGTATGTTGTTGAAGTCTATCTTCAAAATAAGGAATTACAGGTTTTTCTTGTTAAAAAAATTTAAAGTAGATATAAACTCTTTAGAAAAAATACTAATAAAATTATATAAATTGTAATTAAACCAAATTTGTGTGGATCTGAAAGAAAAAAACAAATAATTTTTAAAGTATCAGTTTCATCATACTTAATTTTACTTTAAAAAAATTTTGGCTAATAAACAAAATAATCTCTAGTATACAAAATCATTTCAAACCATAAGTTCTATCTGGTTTTAGTAGAAAAGAGTAGTGATGTTACAGTCAAAGAAAAGACTTTAAAACAACATAGCCAATTTAGCAGAGGACTATAAATATTAAAGGAAAGAAACAAAGTATTTATTTATTTATATGAGACACTAAAAGTATGCAACTGACAAATGAGCCTTCATTATCTATTCACAAATCTACAGGTACTCTCAGAGTACTTTCTAACTAATCCAACTAATTGAAAAACAACTTTTATTAGTACTATTCGAATTACAATAAAACCAAATGAAATCACAATTATTTAGCTGCTGAGAAACAATTAGAATTTTTATAGTGTGAATGATTATTTTGGATCAGGATCATATAATTGCAGAAAAAAAAAAATTTTTGTAATATTAATAATATTAATTTGGATTACATGTGACAATGCAGAATAGAATTAGAATAATTTAACTCTGATATATAGTTAGAGCTTGCAAGTAGTAGACAACCAACTTGAGTCGAAATTATATGATTGAATGCTTAAAAAAAAAAAAAAAGAGTGAAAACTTTTGTTTGTATGCAGATTCGCAAAAGCTCATCCTTCAAACAGAGAAATATGTTATACAACCAGAATTGGTTATATGCACTGTGGTGTAATAATTACATTTTTGAGATACAGGTAGATAGTAATATACAATAATTAGTATATATGCATGAGATATGCAATTAGTTAATAATTTGTAATGCAAAGAGAAGTAACAGTATAGTAATTAGTGTATGCGAATAAGGAATGTAGTCATTAAATAGTCATCAGTATAGTAATCATTAAAACAATGGTCATAAGGGAAGGAGATATAAAAAGGAAAAGGTAGTTAGTCGATTAGTTCTTTTTTTTAGATTTGTTAGTTAGTAGTTTTTCTTGGTCTTTCA